TTGTTTGTGTGGGGTTTTTCCTTAAAAAATACACGTAATACACATTTGTAATCTACAGTCCTGTAGGTTAGAAGTCTGACGTGGGACTCGCTGCACTTAAGTCAGTATCTCACCGGGGCTGTGTGTCTTGTTGGAGGCTCTTGGGGAGGATCCAGTCTCGCCTTTTCCATCCTTTTCTGGAGGCTGTCAGCACTGCTTTGCCTGGGGCCCCTTTCTTTCTCCATCTTCTCAACCAGCAGCTTCTCCTCTCTCTCCGACTCTGACTCACCTCCTTCACTTACAAGTCCCCTTGTGATGAGGTTGAGCCCAACTGGATAATCCAGGATACTCGTCCCCCATTTTAGGATCCTTAACTTAGTCACATCTGCAAAATCCATGGTGCTGTGTGAGACGACATGGTCACAGGTCCTGGAAATTAAGACATGGACATCTTTGAGGGGCCATTATTCTGTCTACTACAGCTGTGGTTCTAAATCCCCTTTTCTCCCATTTATTTTATTTTTCAATTACAGTTGACATACAATATTGTATTAGTTTGAGGTGCACAACGTAGTGATCAGACATTATACAACGTACAAAGTGATCAACTCGGTAAGTCTAGTTAGTACCCACCTGACACCATATGTAGTTATTACGATCTTATTCACTATGTTCCTTAAGCTGCGCTTTACATCCCATGACTGTATTCTAACCGCCAATTTGTACTTAATCTCCTCACCTCCGTCAAGTACTGGGATGAAGTGCTGTATTAGGGCCAAGTGATGATGCTGTTGCGTCCAAGACAACCTTCGGTCAAGTTGGATCCTGGACACTGAGGAGGTCTGAGTTAAAGATGAGGGTCTGATGGTTCCAATCGTGGGGATGGTATGGGGTGCAGCATCTGGGGATCAGGGTGGGCAAGACATTGCCCCTCATGAAAGCAGACTCATATGCTGCCTCTTGGTTAAAATTTGGGGTCATCTCCACAGATGTCAGTTGGGCGTTGCTCCAGAGTTCTCTAGGAGTGATCCAAAAGGTTCCCTTTCCTGCTCCCTCGCTCCCCCACCCAGCTTCTCTAAATCAGTGTGGGGTGAAATTTAGCCAAGAAACTGTATCAGAATTTTGGTGAGAGGAGGGAACGATATGTAATGGAAAATTATATTCAGTATATTATAGCTGCTTTAATTTAGGTTTAGTGATGATGTTTAACTTGCTTTGAAATGTCAGATCTCAATAAAGTAATGTTTATGTTTAGCTAAAGGGCCATAGATTCAGAATCGTCATGAATACCATTTATGGCCTGTCTTCTAAGCAGCCCCCCCTGGCTCTCCGTTGAGGGACTCCCCTCATTGGCTCACTGCTGTTCCTTTCCCTCGGACCGCAGTTTCCAGCTCTGCATTGTCTGTCTTCCAGTGGATATGTTATAATTTCCAGCTAGACCCATAGTTCTCTGTGGAGGCATTTTGCCCCACCTCCACCCTCCTGGGGGCACATTAAGCAATGTCTGGAGACATATGTATTGTCATGATTGAGGGTGGATGCTCTTCACGTTCAGTGGGTAGAGGCCTGGGATACCACTAAATGCCCTGCGATTCACAGGACGGCTCCCACAACAAAGACTTAACCCAGTCCGAAGCATCAACAGGGCCTCTGTTGAGAAGTCTTAGGTTAGATTGTAAGCATATTATGAGCTGACGTGATGTCTTAAGATTCTGGCAAAATAATTATCACCACTAGCAACTAACATTTATCACACTCTTACTGTGTGCCAGGCATTGTTCCAAACCCTTTCTACATATTATTAACGCATTTCATCTTTTTCTTTAGGAGTTATTGTCATCCTATTTCACAGATGGGAAACCTGGAACATGAGAAAGTTACGTACAGTTGCCCAAGGTCACACAGCTAGTACCTGGTAGAGCCGTTCATTAGTAGTAAAGATAGTAATATTCATCGTGGTCACATTTTCATTGATTTGTATTAATCCAAAAGCTTTCTCGAGATTGACTCATTTCATGTTTGCCATGCCTTGTGGAATAAATATTCTTTAATATTAACCCATTTCAGATATGTAGACACTAGGACTCGGTAGAGCTTGCCTTGTATCTATACATCGGTGTGTGTCTTAAGCTGGTGCCTGTCTCCTCCAGGGACTGTAACCCTAAGAATGCAAGGACTTTGCTGCTCTCTTGCTCCTTTTAGTGACTCCACTATTCAGCTCAGGGTCTGACAATGGTGCACACCCCAAAGGGATTAAGGGACCAGGGAATGAATGAAGTGGCAGGGTTTTAGATGCCCGTGGATGGATCTATTGAGGCCTGCCGGTGGCTCAGCATCTGTGCTGTGATTTTCTGCTCTCCTGTGGTTCCTTCCCTCCACTGGACCTTGAAGCTGCCCTGTGAAAGGATCTGGTCCTTTTCACCACACAGGCTCCAAAAAGTGACGGGGACAGGTTGAGAGCATCTGCTCTCTGGCCTCTCTTGAGCTTTGTCAAAACAAGCAGTGCGTGCCTAGCTGGCGTGGCTCAGTGTTTGAGCGTCGACCTATGAACCAGGAGGTCACGGTTCAATTCCTGGTCAGGGCACATGCCTGGGTTGCGGGCTCAATCCCAGTGTGGGGCGTGCAGGAGGCAGCTAATCAATGATTCTCTCCCATCACTGATGTTTCTCTCCCTCTCCCTTCTTCTTTGAAATCAAAAAATATATATTAAAAACAAAACAAAAACAAAAAAACAAGCAGGTCATGATTGTTTCCAGCAGCTAAAAAATTGTGACCTGTTACACCCCAGCTTTTAAAAATATATATATATTTGTTTATTGATTTCAGGGAGGATGGGAGAGAGAGATAGAAACATCAATGATGAGAGGGAATCATTGATCGGCTGCCTCCTGCACGCCCCACATTGGGACCAAGATCGCAACCCGGGCATGTGCCCTTAACTGGAATTGAACCTGGGACCCTTCAGTCTGCAGGTCGATGCTCTATCCACTGAGCCAAACCAGCCAGGCTACACCCCAGCTTTTGAGGCACCTTTGGAAGTCTTTATGACCTGTTCTCAGAGGAGGGATGGGCTTCCTTGCGACTGGATGCTCATGTTCCTACCTAATGAAATTTGATGACATGTGAGGCTAGGTGGAGATACTTTCTTCCTTCTGATATCTGGATATTTTCAGAACTTAGATAATTTTATCCTATTTACATCAAACATGCAGGTAACTCTAGACTTTTATATCTGTATTATTTCTGGGGAGGTGTAATATGATTAGGAATGACAGTAATTGACATTACATGCTTAATTAAATTTCCTTTGCTGTGAATCAAAACCTTTTAGCCCAGTCCTGCAGTGCTATTTCTAGACTTCTCTTTTACATGCTCTGATGTGGTGGGTAGCAAGTATGACATAAATTCACTTTTATAAATTCTGCATCCCATAGACTAAATGAGATAATGTGTGCAAGGTCAACTTAATGCCAGCCACATAATAATTAGTAAAAAAGACAACAACTGTGAGCTGAATTTGCATACTTTGTGCCTTTTAGGTATTAGCTATTTGAAGAATATGGTGTTTCTTACATGATAAGTATAAAGCTGATAATTATGAAAAGGCCCCGTTATGGGTAGCATAGTAATTACCTCCCAGATTTCTCCTTCTTTTAATTGGTCCATAGGGCCTTAGAGTAGTACCTTATTCAAAAAGGGGAAAGCACCCAAAATAGCCTCTTGCTACCACCTCCTCATGCCCCCCAAATCCCAGCAACAACAATAAAAACCTCATCTGCCAGCCTGCTAGAGGGGACTGAAAAGGGGGGTTTGGGTCAGTTCCTTGAGTCTAACCCCCCACCCTTCATTCGGGTACACAAAGCACCTGTAGCCATTGCCAGGTGTCTGATGCCCCTGGCTCTTGAGCATCCTTGAGCCCCTCTGCAGCACTGTCTCCCAGCCTGAGCCGCACAGTGGTCTTTGGGGTCAGATGGAGTAGGAGGAATCCCCTGCTTCATTGGCCATGGTGCCTCCTTCCAGCCCAGAGACCTTCCTTAGGACTGATCTCAGCAGGCCTATCTTCCTCCCACCCCAACCCCTACCCCCCGGGGCGGGGTGATTTGGGCACAGGGTCCTGGAGGACTGACCACAGTGGTGGGCATCCCTGCCAAGTTCCCCAAGATCCAGCATCTCGGGAACCGGTCCTGGGACTGACTCCGCAGGGATGCTCCACCAGAGCGCAGATGAACTGGTCCCAGTGTCTGAGGAAGCAGCTCAGCTGCTGCTGGGTCACATCCCTGCTTTCACCGCCAGCGAAACAGGCACAGTACCAGGTCCTGCCTCCCGCTGAGAGGACATAGCGTTCAGCCAACCAGCCAATAAACCCAAAGGGCCAACATTACAAATATTCAAATTGTTTGCTTCCCATCCTTAACACATGCTTAAGATGATGAATTCGTGCCTATAGTGTGCATGTAGATGCCCTCACATTTTCATTATCTATCTGTGAGTTTAGGTCATCTCTCCTGAACGGACAGGTTCCCCACAACAACTGAGCAAAGACTTGAGGGCGTGGCATGGCTACTTTATGTCCAGAGCTGCCTGGGGTCACATAGCTGTGCCCACAACTGGCGTCTGCCTAAGGAGATGCTTATGACCTTGAGGCTGTGGGTGGACTAAGAAATGCCGCGTCCTCCCAGATGACACTCATTTCTCATCAGCCCCCAGCAGTTGACTCCTTGCACCCCTGCCCAGCTCTGACGGTGACTCTAGGTGTATACCCAGACTCGGCAGCAACAGGCAGGCGCTCTAGACTTCCAGTTGCCAAGAGGAGAGAGGCAGACTCCTGGTTGCTTTGCAGCAGGTCTAGGAGTCTCATGTGGCATCATATTAAATTATATAGGCAGCCACTTGTTCTCGGCCGATGCACTGAGCTGACAGTTGTATCGAGCAGGCAGCGTTCTCCTCAGGACACGGTTGAAAGATCCTATAGCTCTGCAGCCCTCCTGACCTCTGAAAATTAGCCTGAAAGCAGAGGGGTGTGGCGGCTGCACGGAGAGGTCAGCTCGCGGCACAAGGTACCATGACTGTGGCTGACATCCTAGACCATGGGCTGCGGGGCACTTTGCCCTAAAGGTAGGTCAGAGCCTGGACCAAGTTGGGCATGCTACCATGGGGGGTGGAGGGGGCGGGATTCTCTGTTGGAAGTGCCCTGGCCAGCTCCTGGCTCATCTCTGGTGTTTGGGCTTCTGAGGTGGTAGGTGCCCCCTCCTCTTGCCTCTGAAGGTTTTTTAATATCAAGCTGACCTGCATTAGCCTAGCTCTGTTGTTAGAGACAGATATGGAGGGAAAGTGTGTGTGTGTGTGTGTGTGTGTGTGTGTGTAAGATGTTTAGGGGTCGAGGGAGGAGATAAGGATGAAGAAATCAGGGGATGAAGGACTTAAAAAAGAACAACTCTCCCTGACTTTACTGCTTGCTGCCCTGTTCCTGGGGAATCTATGTGTTCGTTCTGAACGTGTAGAAAGCAGCTTTTGGTCTCTGTGAGCTATTAGCCTGCTAAATGCTTTTCCTAAGACCTAACAGCCAGCTCTATCCCATGCTGGAGCCGAGAGGGTGTTGTAATTCTCATTAGTGACAGCAGTATGACCAGGACAAATAGCTTACTTTAAGAGCTCATAGTAACGCCTAATGGGCCTTCCCAGTCCCCCCCGATTGTTTGGAATAAATAGATTAAGACAGGATCTGAAATGGATTTGATTGATGTCCATGCAAGTTCTTGGCAAGATTTTCGACTCCGTTTTCACCCAGATTAAACATGGTTTGAAAATTCACATGTTTGGGCTTATGGCTGGGCTGCAATGCCTCCCCATGGATTTTGACAGGTTAAAGGTCACATCAGTTTGGGCTCCTTGGGTCCAAGTTCTGAGAAGACTGCCATTAATAAAGGAGTAGAAAGGCTAGACGTGAGCAACTTTCAGGCATATGGGCGCCTGAGGGATGGCCTTGGTGAGTTCTGCTGGCTCCCCTGAAGATGTGGAGGGGAGACCTGGCTCCTCCCTGGGGTCCGCAGTGCTTTCATCACAGATTAAAAGCCAACTCCCACTTGATGAATGAATACACCCCAAGTTCATTCGTTTGCACTCTCTGAGAAAGCATTCGCCTGGAGGGTCCCAGCCAGAGAGACTAGCCATTCTTGGGGGAAATGAGGAGACTTTGAGGGATCCAGGGGGTTTGACCCCTGGAAGGCTCCTAAGCAGAGCTGGTGCTTACCCTTTGGTGATGGGGCTGGTGGGTGGAGCAGAAGCCAAGGAAAGGAAGGTGCTGAGAGGGTCCTGGCTGCTGCTGATGAGCATTTCATTGTTTTATTTACATCTCTGTGGAGACCAGGGGAGAGCAATGTTTCCCCCAATATTTCCTAGTTACTTACGTATCTTTTTCTTTAGATAAATTGGCACTTAATTTATTTTAGTAACGTGCCTTAGGGGCTTCGATAGACTTATGGATTTTTATAATGAAGTCATTATATGTTAAGGCTATTAATCTAGGCTTGCCACATGGGTTGCTTTGTTTTTTCCAGATGGACCTTGTTCTTTCTTACTTGCCCGGATCTGTCTCCTTATTTTACAAAACAAGCTTGTGGTTTTCTTCTGCTCCCCACATCCAGAACCTAGTTGTGAAGTACCATGAAAGAAAAACTTACTACTCAGGAACCTCTTCCTATATACAATGTCTAACGTATACAAAAGCAGGAAAAATAGCGTAACACACCCTCAGTCAACCCTCACCCACTTCAACACAACGATTAATCCGTGGCCGATCTTATTTCATGTATCCGCCCCATCTGACCCTCAGCCTCTGCCAGTACATTCTTTTGCAGTGAATTCCAGACATATTATTTCAGTATATATATATTTTTTAGTTATAGCTCTTAAAGATATGGGCTCTTTTTAAAAACACAATTTTACAACATGCAGACAAAATTTAATCATTCCTTAACATCTTCAGCTATTCTGTCTCATAAATTTGATGGGTTCATTTATTATTTTTACAGTTGGTTGGAATCAAGATCAGACTAAGTCCTGGGCATTGCAACTGGTTGACATTCTCTCAGATCTCTTTTATTCCTTGAGAAATATTTATGGAAGAAATCTATAGAGTTTCCCACAGTCTAGATTTTGCTAGCTGTACATTGATGGTGTCGGATAATAAGCCCCTCTGACCCCTGAAAAATTGGTAGGTAGATCTAGCCTTGATGGTGTTGTGTCATTTGAGGGTGGGGGGCAAGGGAGGCATCATATCTGATTGTCTGTCTCTCATTATGAGAAGCCATTGGTGATCGTTGCTGGCATATGTTAATTCATTAGTGTTTTCAAATGGTTAAATTCCAATTCATTTGTTTCATTGTTATATATTATCTAAAATGCTTTCTAAAGATAAACTTTCCTCAATAAGTATTTGGTCAGCCACAGGTACATTTGATTGAGAAAGATAGGCTAAATGTTAGATTATTTCCCCTTTATTTACCAGTTTTCAAAATGGGTGGTTTTCTTAGCATCCTCCAGAGGTGACTAGAGAAGTGGTGGTGTTTTTTTTTTTTTTCTAGTATCATTATTAACTCATGGATTTAAATATATCTGCTGTGTTTCAAGATATTGCAGTTATTGTCCTTATTGGTGCTCAAAGTTTTCTGGTTTTGGCCAATGGAAACCTTTTTGATACGACCCTACCTGGTAGAAATTCATAATTTATTGGTTTCTGGCAATAAGCTGTTCCAGGTTCATCTAATATATTTTCTGCCTCCGATCTAGAATCAGCCATTTCTCCAAGGAGCCCTGCTTCCTTTAAGTGGGAAATGGCATTATTATTTAGGGTCCACAATCCAGGTGCTATGGATATTGAGCGCCACTTTTTCCCGCCTTTGAAAATTCTTCTAAACCAGTCACCACTATCAACAGCACCACCGCCCATCGCAACCCCCACTGCCATCGCCATCCCACCTTCAGTCTCCATAGCAACTATAACATAGTCCTTCTCCAACCTGCCTGGGTACTTTCAGAATGCCACTTGCTCCCAAATGTCCTGCTTGGTAAAGCATTTCATCAGTCTTTTACTTTTCTATCTTTTCATCGTCTTGTCTCTTGTCATCTGTTTGAAACCCAAGACAAGGGGATAGAGCCTAATTTCTTAACGTCTCCTCCAACTTTGTTTTAGAGCTCTGTTGGCTCGCCAAAGTCATTCTTGTTTCATTAGATCATCTCTGAGCAGTCCCTCCCTCCCCGGGTGCTGATACGCATGAGTCAGGCACACATCGGGAAGCGTGGGGAAGGGTAGACTGACAGATACTGAAGCTTACTTAGGCTTGTCCTACTAGGCTGGGCAGTGTGTGTGATGTGATCAGCGCTTCATTATAAACCTGTGAGCTAAGTATTATGATTTCCGCTCTAGAGGGGAAGGAAAGTCAAATAGGAGGTAGGGTTGGGATTCTTCCAAAATCTCCCTTGGACTGGCCAGAGCCCAGGCCAGCCCAGACAGCCTTATCTGGAGTAGGTCCCATCCCAGGAAGACTTCCCGCTTAGAGGAGTCCACTAGGGAGCCTTTGCCCAGCCATCCTACAAACGTGCAGAGCCCTGCTTTTCTTATCCTTCAGGGGCTTTCAGGATGAGATCCACACTTTGTATGTTCTGGCCCTCGGCTTAACTCTGACACCCCACAGACACATTACTCTACCACAATCTTCTTGAAAGCATGCCTGTTCTCACATCTCAAGATCTTTTGTACCAGTATGTCTTTCTCCCTCTGCACCTGGTGAACTACTCTTTTAAGAGGCAAAGGAAAGTATCTTCTCTGAGAAGTCCTCCCTGATGTCCACTTCCCGAAGAGTTAAGTGATACTGCTTTGGCTTCCCCAGGGTACTCTGCTGTCCACTGGGGCTGGGTCTCATTCATCCCTTTGACCCCAGGACCCAGGACCGGGCCTGGCCCAGGAAAGTTGCTCGGGAATGCTGTTGAATGCATACTTAAGCAAATGAGTGAGTGTGTGTGTGGTGCCAGCTACTGCACACCTGCTCACATGGTAAAATGTTATCTTCTTTGAAATAGTCTGCCCAGTTTCTGGTGGCCTCTGTCACTCTCTGCTCCTGTTGTGCCTGCTTTTGTCCCTAAGTTAAATTATACTCCGGGCCTGAAAGACGCAATGGGAATGAGGCCCCAACGCATTGCCTTGCACATAGTCAAGACTCAGTAATTATCCGGGGAATGGAATCAAACGGGAGACTGTACAAAGGCAGCTACAGTCAAGTGTCAGGCTTGCAATCAGCGAGACGCCAGACAGGCAGTTAAAGCATCTCTGATTTACCACAATTTCTTTAATAGGTTCTCAGTACAGATTTGCTGTCAACATGGCTTGTTGGTTTTAGAAAAACAAAAACAGGGAGCTGCAGTGGCTCTTGCGGGGCACGACTGACAACGTGTTGCCACGGCTAGTGTGGTAGTTCCCGGGTTTCCATGATGGGACAGGACTCGGTCATTGCGCTGAGGATATGTAAATTGCAAGCAAAAATGCTTGCCACGACACGTCCCAGACCCCCACGTCCCAGAACCAGAATGTGTCAGGGCTTTCTGCGCTCTCCTTGGCTGCCTCCAGTCCCTTATCCTTCTCTTCCTGAAACCCAGACCTGCCCGCGTTTAATGCCTGGCTCTGCTCTGGAAGATAGAGAGGTTTGTTGGCTGTGAGGCCTGCTCAGGGGCCAGCACTGCCACACCATTCATCGATCCAGTAAGTGAGCATCAAGCACGTGTTGTGGGGTGGGTGCTGCTGTGCAGAGGTGGGCAAAGCCTCAGTCCTCTTGGAGCTCTCAGAATAATGGAGGAGACAGGTGTTTTTCAGGTAGGCACCCAGATGTACTAGTATATTGACAGACGGGAGTAAGTGAGATGGAGAGAGGAACAGAGACCGAGCCACAAAAGGGCCTGGCACCATCTTCTCCATGAAGCCCTCCCTGGCCCCTCCTGGCAGCGCAAGGCTAGCTACGGCTCCCTTGTCACTGGAGCCGGGCCTGTGTTGGCCCTCAGCCCACTGTGACTCTGGGTGTATGTGACTTATTTCCCAGGGCAAGAGTTAGTTCTTTCCTAGAATA